AGGCAAGAAAAATTACTCCCCTTACAAAATAACTTCACTCCCTTCCTTATGTTAAAAAATTTGTATTAAGAGTTTGTACTTGAAATGCTATCGATGCCGTGCCAATTGACATAAACAATTTGATAATTGTTGGCCGAAATATCGGACTACTCAAAATAATTTTGCATTGCATTGATAAATAAATAAATAGTATAATTAAATATGTACTTTATATTAAAAATTATTTTTATCACAACTTTCAGCTATTCATCGCGGTGAATCATTGGATAACAACTATTCTCTTCCGTCATGATGAATTAATGGAAAGCAACTATTTCTCACGTGTTCCCTCTCCCTTTTCAAAATATCAAAAGACTTATTCCCATTTAAGGGCCCAAGGGCAGGGTCAAATCCCGAAAATATTATTGCGATGTGGGATTAAATTCAGTCGCTCGCACCATTAGCCTTGAGAAAATAATTCAAACTTTCCGTTTGAATTAGAAAGGATATTCGATATCTTCTTTTGATGTGCGATACGGACGAACAATGTAGTGTCAAACATTTAAAAGATTATCGTTCAACTTAAAAACATAATAAAAGTAAAACTGTTAATAATAATTGACGAGCTTTATATAGTGAAATTCATAATACAATTGTAAAAACAATTTATTTGTACGTATGCGTACGTATGCATACGATGGTATGATAAATAAACGGAAGATATGTACAATGCCATTCTTTTATATACGAACGTGGCACATTTCATAATGTACCAATTGTTAATGCCTTTGCTCAAGATTTAATCAAAATCAATAGTAATTCGAATTCAATGATAACTTATCCGATGCGAGTAAAAGCTTTGAAAAAATCATTTAAATACATTGCCAACGTTACTAATTATCAATGTTAATTTTACAGATACACAAAATTGTGTATGCTGAAAAACAAATCGTCATAGGATTATTTAAATTATTAAATTAAAAATTTTTCATCAATGTCCAAATGCCGTGATATGTATAACAGAATTTAATTTGAATGACGAGTATAATAATGTGCGCGCGTCGATCTTCAAGAGGAAAAAATGGTGGGACTCGATTAAATCAACCGCGAAAAGTATTTTTCCCTTGGAGTCAAGGATTTTCAGACGATAACAAGTTAATCTATGCGAACAAAGTGCATGGTATTTTTGTGAAAATCTCATTAAAGTCGCTCCGAAAATATATATATACTAACTAACTAGCTCGTAAGTATAAACTTGGCCACCGTAGTCTACCTATAGTAATATTCTTTTTCATTTGTCTCTGCAACGCTTAAACAACTAAACAACGTTTAATATGTTTAAGCAAGACAAACGGAGGGATATTGTAGCGTTTCGATGGTTAGATATAAATACGCATTCGTTCTCGCACACGGATACTCCATGTAAGAGAGAGAGAGAGAGAGAGAGAGAGAGAGAGAGAATGAAGCCAAAGCTCACATCAATAAATGGCAATGTTTTTAAACGGTTTATGTAAGCTTTGCCCAACGCATCTGCGCATTCGGAAATTTCATTCGACGATGTTTAATAAGGTTAAGAGCCAAATAAATTTTTTTTAACGAAAATATTACACTGCGTAATTTGAGATTGAACGTCGATATTTATTTGCTAATATGAACATAATGTCGACGAAATTTCGGCAGTCACATAAATCTTTAATTTTAATCAAATTGCGTCATAAGTGAAGAAATATTATTATGTTACCGATGTTAGGAAATACATGTCATGAAACACGTAAAATAGTTTAATAAGCAAAATGTAGGAATTATTATGGCATTACAAAGCAGTACACTGTGTAAATATTAGCCACTTGGATATATTGGCAACTGCACATTCGTCTATTATATCAACAAGTACATATTGCATGCTAATACTAAGTAATAAACAGTACTTAACGCATATAGCCACCTAAACAAATAGCACATAGTCTAACATTGTTACTTAATATCGAATATATGTTTGGAAATAAATAACAAATTGTGTAATCAATTATAAATATCACTCGTTTGAATTTTATAGAGTATTTACCATATGAATGAGATTTTATTTTACAGGCATTTCAAAATAAGTTCTACGCCGTATATAATGAGATTTCGCGCACTACACAAGACACAAAATTCTATATGTCAAAAATCAATATTTAAAATATGACTCCGAGGACTAAGAGTAGAGTAGAGTAGAAAAATTTAATAAAACTTCCGATTAGCGACTTTCGTTATTCTCATTCGGATCTTACAATAATTTCCAGGCAAAATTATGTGATATTTTTTACGTTACAATAATTTTAATCAATATAAGTGTGTCGCACACGATGAAAAAGAAACGCACATCCTTTTTAGTTACAGCCGTTGAGTGCATCGGGCAGGCCAAGTTGAGCGAATACTCGGTATGTTTTTATAAAAAAAAAACGCGTAAAAAGCAATTTTCATTTCACTGGCAGATAATTTCATGTCAATAGGAACCGACCTGACTGTTTAAATTCGATTCTTCGTCTCAGTCAGCTTCGTTTATATTTCGTATCCGTTATACGTACTTGTTTTCTCTTCTTGCATGAATTTTCTTATAAATATTCAGTTAATAGAAATGATTTTTGCAATTTTTCATTGTACAATGCGATTTAATAAAATAGAAACATTTTTCCATTGTTATCCACCGACACCCATTCCCTCAATCATTCCATTTTCATTATTAACAACTGCAATGATCATCGTGTAAATCCATTGCGTACGATTGTTTTCAACTGTTTTCTAAATATTTTTCACATTTTGTCATGAAAATCTATCGTGTAAAAAATCTGCTCTGCATATAAATATATATATATATATATATATATATATATATATGTATGTATAAAAGAAACTAATCGATGTCAGCAGCGTACGTTGGTAAGAGAAAAAAAACTTTCCAAATGAAATCGTTCTATTTTTTTATACCGTAAATAGCGCCGAGTATCGTTGTAAAGAAAAAAATTTAGATTAGTACTTGCCTTAATAAAACGGAATTATTATGGCTTAGTTAATTCGAGATTATTTCACGTCAGAAACGAAACAAATAGAACATTGTAAAACAAATGCGATACGTCGGGAATCAATCGATCGTTAAGAAACAAATGCATATCCAAGATATCAATTATCGAAATTCAGAAGAACCTAACCTGCCCTCGCACAAAAATACTAAACTCGAGACGCATACATCTACAAAAGCGCACACAATTAAATAGATACGCGTACCTTGTATATGTGCCGTGAATGACGCAGCTAATAAATTATACGCGTCCTGAAATTGCGAGAAGAAAATAAAAAAACAAAGGATCATGCGTACCCGAATAGATACGTAAACTATTGGGACGTAGTATAGCAGAATGCATTAGGGAGCTCCGAGTTGCGCACAAAGTCTCAACGTTCTATATACATTCCTACACACGCGCGCATCCACACACACACACACACACACACGCGCGCGCGCGCGCGCGCGCTCTCGAAGACGACCCTTAACAAATACAAAAACGACAATGCGTGCATGCTGTGTGTGTGTGCGTGTGTGTGTGTGTGTGTGTGGATGCATATATATATATATATATATATATTTAGGCCTGCGTCACGATGATCAGTGCGGAGTACGCACGCGCGCCTAAGTACACACTGATCCCCCTCCCACGCTACCCACCCCCTCTTTCTTTTCTGTGCATGTGTACGACACTGTATGCGCAGGGCTTTAGCGGGTAGCGACGTACATCATTTCTGCGTGTGCGTCTGTGTATCTTTGTGGAGTGGGAAAAGAGGGGAAGGGGCGTTGTCAGGTCCACTTTTCGTCGAGAAAAAGAACGCTCTGTTCTCTCGGCATCTGGGTATATATATATATATATATAGGTGGATATAGTTATATTTATCTTTTTATCTCGTACTGATAGCCGCGCGCGCGCACTCAAACACAATATCCGTTCTCCCGGCCCCTTCCCTTCCGCCAACCGCCCAAAAAAATTCTTGCTTGCTTATTACATCGTCTTACTCGCACCCATGACGACCTCCGAAGCCACTACTAGGCGCAAGGAGAACAAAGGACTCGTGCGCTGTAAACTTTAATTCTCTTCTCCCTCGCACTCATGCGCGTACACGGCAGAGCCAAACAACTATGCACGCGCGCGTATGTCAAACTTTTATATAATGTGCATCGTTTATTTTTCTCACCGAATTTCTCCTCGGTAAAAATCGCGAATTCGTAGATGGTGCGTTCGGCTTTGTTTGGTGTGTGCGCGCACAACTAGACAAAAACCCAATAAAAACAAAAAAACTACAAAGAGCGAGCGAATGACAGAACACGTAGGTGGGTATAGGGTTGACAAAGAAAGGAGTGTTGAGTTTACATACGCGCGGTGTAGGGTGGGAGGAAATGTAAAGGGTTGGGATTGGTCGTTAAGAGGAGATTTGAGACAGGGATCGACGGTGGAGACGCCCTGGCGGTGTTAGTGTTGGTGTAGACAAAGACACAACGAAGCTCCCGAGTAGCTAGCTTCCGACCCCCGAGATTAGGACACAACACTTCACACAAGGCCCCGTTTGTGGATGCGCTTTTAAACTTAGGCACAGGCACAGGCACAAATGCAGCCGAAGACACGTACACGGTCACAAAAGGCAGGCAATTGCAATTATACGAAGAGACACACAGACAGACGCGCACAGCTAGAGCGCGCGCGTCGGCTATAAACACTGTCATTGCGCGTTATATCGGCGATCGATAGGTATTCGCGAAAAACTGAGGTGACGGCAGCTGAGGGGGTGATAGGGAGGGGGAGGGGATGAGGAAACGGTGGAGGAGAACTGGAGGCAAAACTAGAGTAGCACGAGTAGCACAGGTTGACTTAACGTTAAAGAAATAATAATAAAATAAAGCTAATTACAAGCCACGTATAATAAATAAGTGTGTGGTGTGCGGTGTGCGTGTGCGTGAATTCGTGTTCGTGTATATATAAAAAGTGGTGAATTACACAGGGCTCCTGACGTGCGCTCGCCTGGGCGTGTTACTGTCGAGGGCTCGCGGCAGCGACTGGTATCCTCGGTCCCCTGCTGCCAGTCGTTCGAGCTGATATCCGTCAGCTGATCCGACCTGGTGGGGATCCTATCCCCACTCGCGCGATCTGCCTCTGCCGCCGCCTCGCTGTCCTCAACGCGAGTTCAATATGCTGACGTTCCTCCTGACGGTCCCTTCTTTCCTCTCTACTCGTGCACCTCGAAATGCCGTCGAACGCACCCGCGGGTATCTTCTCTCGGGTGCGCTCTGTCCGACGTTCGCTCGACGCAGCTCTTCGCGTTTGGAAGTAGTTACGTTTGATATTGATAAATCGACCACTTGGGCACATTTTGCCTCCTCCCCCCCCCCCCCCCCCCCCCCCCCCCCCCCCCCCCCTTGGGCACATTTTGCCCCCTCCCCCCCCCCCTCCCTACCTCCCTCCCCACGCAATGACCATCCCCTTCGACACTCCCCCTCCTCCTCCTCCTCCTCCTTCGGCACTAGACAAAATCACGTTGTTGTTGCTGCTTGTTATGCATGGATGCTAAGCGAGCAGCGGTACGGGAATCGCCGGGGTCGCGATTAATAATAAGATATATTGATGATTCTTAATTCGATTTGATAATGAGTGGGAATTCGATATCGAGGGATAAATGAGAAATTGGCGTTGTTCGTGGGAAACGGAGGTAATTGTCACCGCGAGACAATTGAACGCGAGATGCGAAAGGCACCAACCACCATGTACTACTCCCACTCCATACCTCTTCGTTTAATAATCGCTGTCAAAGGCGACAAGGCAAAGGTTTATCATTGTATTATCCCCATTGCCTTGACCTACAGCGGCATGCTTTTATTCCCGAGTGCACCTCCTATGTTTTGTACGTGTATTGTCCGTGTATGCCTTTATTATCAATCTTATGCCTATATTGTAAAATGCCTTGCCGTATTGATTTATGTAGGCTGTTGGCGCCCTTGTCGAATATCTTGCTCGTTGCCTGCTTTGACGTTTTTCAAAATCTGTGCAATTCTCGAATAAATATGGAATGCTCCACTGTCTTCTTTACTCAAACGTTTCCCATAATTATGTTAAACGAATAACTTTTCATTATTATTATTGTTATTGTTATTTTTGGCTTTTTGTTTCTGTTTCTATTTTCGTTTGCGTTCTAAACAATCGATCAATCGCCATTTAATGTTCTTATGAGAAAATTATGAGAAAATTTTACCACACAAAATGCCATATTATACATCTGCCTCGAGATGAAATTTGCCTCGTACTCGATAAAAGCAGACGAGCCTTTACAAGATAATTTGCAATGTGCAATAAAAATATATTTCGACGTCTCGCTTCATTATATCACATTTGTGATAAAATATTACATCTTATGAATAGAAAATAGCAAATGAACATCGATTGACAAATCATATTTGCATATAAATCCCGTTAAATGCCTTATGCGTAAATAATGATAAAGCCATCGATGAAGTCGATAATTATTTACAGCCTATGCTAATAATTCAAAGTGAAGAAATCTAATGCTGGGCATTCGGAGATAAAAGAAAATGCAATACAAACAGCCATTCAATAATAATAAACGATGTCGATTCTAATGTAGTTCAAAATCGCAATAAATTTTTATTAATTTACAGCGTTCGTTGTTGTCGCTTTTCCTTACTTTTCGCTACGCACGTTTTCATAAATAAGCACATGCTACGTCGCATTAGCTTTTTGTACGCAGTACCTAAGAGAGAAAAAAAGTGACAAAATTGGCATTAATTGTCGAATAATGCCTGCAAGAAAATGACCGGACCCTTACGGCGAGACGGTTGACGACGGTCACAGACACGGAGCACCAACCGCGGCAACACTGACCGTCAGTTCAGCATCAGTCCCCAACTAGATACGTCACTCGTTTAGTTGCACGAAAACTTCTCTACCGCGCGTTATGCGTGTGTAAGCTTTATGCGCGCTCGGATGAATCAATTTCCTTTATCTACCTTGAAATTCCGAGCGATATGTTAAATACCGAGCTCATAAATAAACATAAAATACAAGCGAATTAAAGAATCGAGTTATTGCATGGTTTATGAAATTATTGCAAAAGCCAGTTTTTTTTTTTTTATTTTTTATTTATTTACATTACATACGCTAAATTAATTAATAAAAGCATTACTAAGTAATCAGGTATTAATAACTAACGATAATATAATAAAGTACGGGCTATATTTAAATTTATAATTCATTGTTAAAAATTACAAATCGATAATTATAACCAATGGCCGAGCAACTTACTATTTCTAAAAATCGATGTCATTGCGCTAAGAGAAGATCAGAAATATAATCGACCTGTCCACTTCTCCATAACAATCGAAAAAGCGGCAAAACCACCCTAAGGCCATCGTAAACATCCACTATGACAAAGCTTATATAAGCGTCATTTCACCGACGATCAAATAATTTTTTTTAAACGAGAAAAATCAGCTCCCGGCTAAATACACTGCTCGTCCGTAAATTACACGAGCGTCGAGAAACCTAGAACGTTTATTACCTAACTTACCTTAACTCTCTCAGCTGGGAAAACAGCTGCGTATTCCACCATTCCCCCTCTTCTCATCTCTTTGCCTTGGCGACGGCTTGGCCACATACTCGATGTGCATGCACGTTTTTACTTCGTGTTCGCGCAACAAAGATACGCGGCGAGGAGGAGAGCGGCGAGTGGTGGCGAGTGGTGGTGGCGAGTGGCGAAGTCATGACGGGTGAGTTTAATGTCAGGGGTGGGGGCGGCGATGGCGATCGCGGCGGCAGGGAACAACGAAGGCAGGAGAGGATGATTGCTTCCTAGGAGAAACGTCGTGTTTCTCCATATTATATTAGGAGCGAGTATGAGTTTTTGTTTAACGACGACGCATGGACGAGAGGCGGAGAGTCATATTGTACGAAGGAGATTTTTTGGCGTGTTCATTTAATGTTTATGTTCATCCATTGTGACTATTATATATTCTATGAGATGCTGACGAAATGTAGCGAGATGCATACTACCTTGTTACTATAGGTAATCAATCCAATCAATAACGCCTGCTACCGATTCTTAGATTTAGTAAAAAAAAAAAAAAAAAAAAAAAAAAAAAAAAAAAAATACCATACGTCCCTGAGCTAATTGACAGTGTTCACAGCCTGTAAAGAAAAAATGTTGCTAACCGCTTTTATAGTCAATATAAGCTCTTCAATATTCTCTATTCTTCAGCTTTTAAATGACAACTTTTCTACTTTATTGAGAAGAAACGTTTATAGTGCGTATTGTTTTATCCGTTTGAGAATAGATAGTTTTTCCTATATAATGAACAAAAAAAAAAAAAAAAAAAAAAATCATACCATACGTCCCTGAGCTAATTGACAGTGTTCTCGATAATTCAGTCAATGAAAATGTATAGAAGCATTTAGTAAGTTTACGAAATAAGATTTTACACAAATTTTAACAAGGATTTCTTAAACGAGACAATGAATCACTACTGCGTTTCTATTCATATTTATATTAAGGGAATATTATCGAACTTCTCCGATAAGGATTTAAATAATAAGCTATGTCCTCTTTTTTTATATATACTTGCCGCGTAAGATTATTATGTATCGCGTGAAATTGCAAAGTAAGTCATATTGCATAAATATACTAAAATTTACGATTTATCTTTCCTTTTAAATAATAAATTTTCTCTATTAAGGCTAAATGAAGCATTCAAAATGAATAACGAATGAAATTCTAAATATTAGCTATTTCGGAAAGGAAACGTCATGTTATTTAGTATTTATATTTACAAACATTACAATACAAACAGTTATATAAAAATGATATTTTTTTGGCCTTTGAATCAAATAGTAAATAGTATATTTTCAATTAAATTTCAAATAACAGATTGAGAATAACACGCTTAATTTAATAAAATAATAAAATTATTAAATTATGAAAGAAAATATATACACCAATGCTTTTTTTTTTAGATTGAATATTGGAAGATATATTGGAAGATAATTTTTTAATTAGATTATGCGCTAGATATTTATTAATTTAAGCATTTAAATTGTATTCTTACGCAGATATTAAAAATTTGTATATACTAAATACAATAAATTATAATTTTCTATATATTTTTTACATACATATGTTTCTCTTAGATGTAAGATTCAGTATTTAAAAGAAAAAAGAAAAGAAAAAAAAACTGAAGGTTAGATATTTTATAGATAATATATTTATTTATATTTAAACTCAACTTCCTGACAATCATATGTGCGAACTTGATTCAGTGCACCTTTTATTCAACATTAACATTGTGACTAGTAAATTGAGCGTTTAAACCTAAATAACAATAAAGTAGTCGAATATTGAATATAAGAAAATTTACATTACGTACAGACTCGATGAATAAAAATTTGTATTTTCTTAAAAACGACAAAGGCACGGCGCTTGACTATAGAGTCTACCGCGGACGCTTTACGAGAAATCTCAAAGTGAATTTCAGGCAGTGAAGTGCAGGACTTTTTGTGCGGTATTCTATTGGTCATGCGCATGCGCCAGATAATACCGGTAGCTAAAACCTTACGGAGCTCGGATATTATTGGAAGGAGGGAGTCATGAAAGCGTAGCCCTGACCTACACAAACATTGCCGAAATTTCAAAAGTCCCCACGCAATGAGTACGAATAATTTTAAATGAGATGAATTAGAAACGTGAGATTAGCGAAAGGGAAAATGAAGAGGTGGTAGGTAGAAGAGCGAAAGGACATATATCAACCAACACGAATGAAATGAAAGATTTATTTGTATCTCACGAGTGAGTCTCATAGTGCGTCGACCTAATATCAAAGCGTTCACGAGAATGGAACGAAAACGGGAAAGAAAGAGAGATGGAGAATTTTCAAATGAATTTTTCAGATTCGTTTGTAAGATTGAACGGTTGGTGATTCCAGCTGAAATTGCGTTTTCTCTCTCTCTCTCTCTCTCTCTCTCTCTTTTTTTTTTTTTTTTTTTTTTTTTTATACAGAGAATGCTTTCTCTTTTTACCTGCGCATCAGCATGACTTTATTTGTTTGTTTAACCAAGTTGGGCGCTCGTCCGAGGATGCTGATCGATTTGAAAGGAATGGCTGATATAAAAAAGGGCGTTTACTTCATCGGTAAAATAAATCGGTCAGCATTGTGAGCTTTCCTTGCTCGCGATAACAATTATT